CGTGTATCTTGTCCAGACGCACAAAAAAGCCTCTTGGAGCCATGCCTAAACCCAACAGGAAGTCGGCCATTTTGAATTTTACGTCAAATTTTGGATGATTTACACACTTCGTACTTTAACGAACTCCTCCTAGGGATTTAGTCCGACCGACCTCAAATTTGTGCTGTGCCTTCTAAAGGCATTGAAGATGAAAAGTTGTGCTATTTGCGAGTTTTCGTCAATGGGTGTGTCCGTGGCGTGGCGTCAGAGATCAAGTCTTCGCCATGACACAGGAAGTTGTTGTAACTTCAGTGTACATGCTCACATCTGAACCAAACTTTACGTGCTTGATAACTCTCCCACCCCGCTATGGAGGACCGATCCTGACACAGTCAGAAATAAATACAGAAATAAATAAATGCTCAATAAAAAATAAGCATCCAATTAAATACACAAAAAATAAAGTAAATAAATAAATGTGGTAGTAATTAAATTATACAAGGAGACATAAATGTATATATTTTAATTAGTGCCTTTACTTATTCACCTTTGTTATAATTACCTTATTATTTGTTATATTCAACTTTATTTATTACTAATTTTTTTAATGTATTTATTTATGTGTGTGTTTTAATATTTTTGTCTGTTTTATTCTTCCTTTGTATTTTTTACCTTATTTATTTTCACCCATGGTATTTATTTCTGCCTGTCTTTTTAAATTTCTGCCTCATTATGCAAATGAGGAGGGGCTGTGTCTCAAGGGGTCATCTTCTCTGCTATTGGTGGACCAGTCAGACAGGAGAGCTCCTACTCTGCCTGCAGACATCAACGATCTTGCCCCTCACACAGTCAGATGGCTTACTTCAGTGCGCTGAGGTGTTTAACAACTCTGAAGACAATACTACCAGCAATGTCTTCCTTGTCTTTTCACGTAGACGCTCCGACAGACAGTGCTTTCAGTTTGCTGCATGCATGGACACAGAACTGCGGTATAGGGAGAAGCACACGGTCAGCTGGCTGCAGCTAAATCTGGAGTGCACTCGTATTCAATTCTGTATGGTAAATTCAGTTTTAACGGAGCAGAGCGAGCTGACAGGAGACTTTTTCTGTCCGTTTCTCTCTTTACAAAGACGCATGTTGCAGTCAGAGTCTTCTCTGAAGAGGGCAATGAAGTCTCAGTAGTACCCGATGCGAGCACCACATACAACACAATTTATCAAATTACACAACGGATATACAGTATGAAAATAAGATTGATTGGATTATACTCACAGGAAGTATAAAACCTGTTACATGCGTAACACAGTAATGTCAGGGAAATTACTTTACTTAGATTTAAGTACTGCAGTTGTACATTTGAAATACCTTCCTACCTTTCTGATAGGAAGCCTTCTTGAGGTGGTATAAAACATTTCTTCTTATATTCTGATTTGAGTTGTGGACAACTATGACCACATGAATTAAAAAAATTAAACATTTCACTGCCCAAGTCAGCTATAACACAAGTCTTGTTCATCAGACTACATGCTGTGGACAGATTTTGTCCCAGGATTTATTATGCATTTCTTCTTCTTCGTTGCATGATTTAGAATAATAAGGTGAGAAATGGGTCTATTCTGAGTTCATCCTGCACTGCAGCAGCTAATAAAGTCCATTTAATCCCAAAAACGCTTTTCTTTTAGGCAGGCTGGAGCAGAAAACAACTCACCTTTCTCAAGTTGTACAGTAATGTCACATGTGTATGAAGGTGGATCAAACAGCTAATCTTAAATGTCAAAGTAGAGAGGAGCCTAGTAGGCCTATTTATTTTCATTCATTACAATATGAATAAGCTATGCAGACAGTTGTAAAGAAAGAACATCTTTTTCTTCTGTTCTCTACTTGTTATAGTTACACAGTATTAGGGGTGTGGGCTGTATTAAAAGTATCCACTGTTCTCCCATGCTCTAACACACAGTAACGATGAAATGTGTGCTGTTCTCACATTCTTCCTCTGTATGTACACATAAACAACAAGGCAGGGAAATATAAAAGGAATTTATTTTATTGTTTGGGTACATTATTGTTCAGTGTACATGCTCACATCTGAAACAAACTTTACGTGCTTGATAACTCTCCCACCCCGCAGACATCTACACACCAATACCGATTTATTCATAGCGGCAAGTGCTATGTAGCTCCACATAGGGGACACAGGAAGTGACATATAGCACCTTCATGCGGCGTCGGAACCGCGTAGGAAATTCACAGCCGCACCGGCAGAGCTCCAGAATGTGCAACTCGGCCGGCTCACGCGCGGACGCGCTACAAGTGCGAGGGCCGCCCAACGCTGCTTGCAGCTTTAATTAGGGCCCGAGCACGACCGTGTGAGGTCCCTATTGAATTTGCTCGGATTATTGCGATATTGAATTTGGATTATTTTTTTTTTTTTTTTTTTTTTTTTCTGCAAAGTAGGCCCAAATGACATGGCCTAAACATACTCGAAAACTCACCAAAATTTGCAAACATGTCAGAACCGGTGAAAAATTTCGTATTCTACAAGTTTCGCACATGGGCGTGGCAAAATGACTCGCTAGCGCCACCTAGAAAATTGGAAATGATTAGCCCCTCGTTCACGTTCAACCTACATGTACGAAATTTTCTGGGGACATGTATCGTATCAAGACGCACAAAAAAGCCTCAAGAACCCATAGCCTAAAGTCAACAGGAAGTCGGCCATTTTGAATTTTATGGCCATTTTTGGATGATTTACATACTTCGTACTTTAACGAACTCCTCCTAGGGATTTAGTCGGATCGACCTCAAATTTCTGCTGTGCCTTCTAAAGGCATTGACGATGAAAAGTTGTGCTATTTGCGCGTTTTCGTCAATGGGCGTGTCCGTGGCGTCGATGATTCGCAATGAAACAGGAAGTTGTTGTAACTTCAGTGTACATGCTCACATCGGACCAAACTGTACATGTAGGATGAGAGTCCCGCCCTGAACACATGTACATGCCGACATTCACCCACAGTCATAGCGCCACCTGCTGGCAACAGAAAGTGACCTTTAACGAAGCAGCCCCCGCCGCACGTTTCACCTACGTGCACGAATTTTCTGTGGTACGTGTATCTTGTCCAGATGCACAAAAAAGTCTCTTGGAGCCATAGCCTAAACCCAACAGGAAGTCGGCCATTTTGAATTTTACGTCAAATTTTGGATGATTTACACACTTCGTACTTTAACGAACTCCTCCTAGGGTTTTCGTCCGACCGACCTCAAATTTCTGCTGTGCCTTCTAAAGGCATTGAAGATGAAAAGTTGTGCTATTTGCAAGTTTTCGTCAATGGGCGTGTCCGTGGCGTGGCGTCAAAGATCAACTCTTCGCCATGACACGGAAGTTGTCGTAGCTTCAGTGTACATGCTCACATCTGGACCAAACTGTACATGTAGGATGAGAGTCCCGCCCTGAACACATGTTCATGCTGATATTCACCCACAGTCATAGCGCCACCTGCTGGCAACAGGAAGTGACTTTTAACGAAGCAGCCCCCGCCGCACGTTTCACCTACGTGCACGAATTTTCTGTGGTACGTGTATCTTGTCCAGACGCACAAAAAAGTCTCTTGGAGCCATAGCCTAAACCCAACAGGAAGTCGGCCATTTTGAATTTTACATCAAATTTTGGATGATTTACACACTTCGTACTTTAACGAACTCCTCCTAGGGATTTAGTCCGACCGACCTCAAATTTGTGCTGTGCCTTCTAAAGGCATTGAAGATGAAAAGTTGTGCTATTTGCAAGTTTTCGTCAATGGGCGTGTCCGTGGCGTGGCGTCAAAGATCAACTCTTCGCCATGACACGGAAGTTGTCGTAACTTCAGTGTACATGCTCACATCTGCACCAAACTGTACATGTAGGATGAGAGTCCCGCCCTGAACACATGTACATGCTGACATTCACAGACAGTCATAGCGCCACCTGCTGGCAACAGGAAGTGACTTTTAACGAAGCAGCCCCCGCCGCACGTTTCACCTACGTGCACGAATTTTCTGTGGTACGTGTATCTTGTCCAGACGCACAAAAAAGCCTCTTGGAGCGATGCCCTAAAATCAACAGGAAGTCGGCCATTTTGAATTTTACGTCAAATTTTGGATGATTTACACACTTTGTACTTTAACGAACTCCTCCTAGGGATTTAGTCCGACCGACTTCAAATTTGTGCTGTGCCTTCTAAAGGCATTGAAGATGAAAAGTTGTGCTATCTGTGAGTTTTCGTCAATGGGCGTGTCCGTGGCGTCAAAGATCAAGTCTTCGCCACGACACAGGAAGTTGTTGTAACTTCAGTGTACATGCTCACATCTGAACCAAACTTTACGTGCTTGATAACTCTCCCGCCCCGCAGACGTCTACACGCCAATACCGATTTATATTCATAGCGGCAAGTGGTATGTAGCTCCACATAGGGGACACAGGAAGTGACATATAACACCTTCATGCGGCGTCGGAACCGCGTAGCAAATTCACAGCCGCACCGGCAGAGCTCCAGAATGTGCAACGCGGCTGGCTCACACCCGGATGCGCTACAAGTACGAGGGCCCGCCCAACGCTGCTTGCAGCTTTAATGTTTTTTTCAAGTCTTTTTTTTTATTCAGTACAGACATCACAGGTACAGAGGTATGGCCTCCAGACATTGATATAGATGCATGTATAATGAGATAATAACTGTCACTCTAACAAGGCTGTGAAATGTTAATGCAGGTTGTGGTCACCCACAATCACTCTAATGTGCTGGTTCATTATAGATAATGTTATTTATTTACAATGTTTTAAAGGTGGTTTAAACAAACTCACATTTTATTTCATTTAAATAGTTGGAAGTTCACTGGTGAATCTGCTAGTTTCAAGTTGATATCGGGGACAGATTCTGAAAGTCCACCTTAAAGAAGCTATGACTTTCTTACTGGTTGCTAATTTGATTGTATTCAACATGAAATAAGAGTACACATATTGTGTTTTTTAATTATTATTATTTTTTCAGTTGAGTTTGTATTATCGTTGCCGGATGAGAGATTTTCGACAAGTCATACCTTAACTTTAGAAGAGTTTCTGAAAGCAGCTATGAAGGAAGAAGAGAAGAAAAAGAAAGAAGGCACAACCACAGAAAAATATAGTCTACTATGGAAATTTCTGGGGAAAGCCAATTCAAGTAAGTTTCTTTTTATATCCATTTTGTTTTGTATTTATGTTTTCCCTCTCTCTCTTCGTCATATTTTATCTTGCTTATTCTTCAATGAGGTAGTGAGGCTTTTAATTGTATTTACAGAAGATAAACAGAAATGATGTCTGATCCTGGTCAGTGTTTTGGTAACTCCACACTACCTGTCTGTAGTAATAAATGTGTATGATGGTGTCATCTTTTAGGATCCTAGTTGCCCGAGGGTAGAAGCTCCTTCAGAGCCTCTCAGTGTTAACCTGGTGTATAGTGGTGTGAGAAAGTGCTTACCTCTTCTTGATTTCTTTCTTTTTTTTTTTTTTTTTTTTACATGTTTCTCACACTGAAATGTTTCAGATCATCAAACAAATTGTTTAGCTGCAGCCCTGCCTACATGGCCCTGTGTGAAAAAGTGATTGCCCATCTGTTAAAACAAATCAATTGTGGTTTTTCACGTCTTTGGAAAGCTTAGTTTAATTTATCTAGCCACATTCAGGCCTGATTACTGCCACACCTGTTCTCAATCAAGAAATCACTTATATAGGACCTGCCTGACAAAGTGAAGTAGACCAAAAGATCCTCCAAAGCTAGACATCATGCTGTGATCCAAAGAAATTCAGGAACAAATGAGAAACAGAGTAACTGAGATTTATCAGTCTAGAAAGCCATTTCTAAAGCTTTGGGGCGCCAGCGAGTGCGGGATCCATTATCCATAAATAGCGAAAACATGGAACAGTGGTGAACCTTCCCAGGAGTGGCCGACCAAAATTACCCCAAGAGTGTAGCGACGACTCATCTAAGAGGTCACAAAAAACCCCACAACATCCAAAGAACTGCAGGCTTCACTTGCCTCAGTCAAGGTCAGTGTTCATGACTCTGGGCAAAAATGTCCTTCATGGTGGAGTTCCAAGACGAAAACTACTGCCGAGCAAAAACAACAAGGCTTGTCTCAGCTTTGCCAGGAAACATCTTAATGATCCCTGAGAGAGAAAATACTGTGGACTGATGAGACAGAAGTTGAATTTTTTGGAAGGTGTGTGTCCCATTACATCTGGTGTAAAAGTAACAGCATTTCAGAAAAGGAACATCAGTAAAATAGTAAAATGTGGTGGTAGTAGTGTGATGGTCTGGAGCTGTTTTGCTGTTTCAACACCTGGAAGACTTGCTGTGGTGAAGAAAAAATTTGGGCTGCACGATTTGGACAAAAAGTCATAATGCGATTATTGTGGACAATATTGCAATTTGATTATAATGGAACAAATGGTACTATGAGTCTACTTGCTTAATTATCAAGGAAAATGCACAAAATACTGACTTTGAAATGTGTATTTCTCAACTTCAACAAAGTTAAACAATATTTAGTAAAACAGATGAAAACAGTCATCCTCAACTGGTAAAAAAGCAATATTTTTAATGCAATAAACCATCAAAACCATCCTAAGATAGATTATAATGCAACTGAATATCTTCTAATACACCTAGACTGCATTGCACTGATTGTAACTGTAAATGTGATGAAAATAAACTAAAATACTACAGTTATATACAATATTTTCAAAATATACCAGGCGAACGTCTGGTATATTTTGACAGTATTTACTGTTTAATTGTTGACTTTTACTGGGAGTTATCCTAAAAACGCTTTGTCTATACAACCACATTCCAAATAACAAAACATTGAAATACTGATAAAAATATTTCAATGAATATTCATTACATTTACATTACATTTATTCATTTAGCTGACGCTTTTATCCAAAGCGACTTACAATTGCTATCAGTGGTCGCATCTAGGGGTTAAGTGTCTTGCTCAGGGACACTTTGGTGTCTCACAGAGTGGATTTGAACCCAGGTCTCTCTCACCAAAGGGGTGTTATCCACTGCGTCACCACCTCCACTGCGCCATTACCACCCTCCTCATCAACATTCCTGTCCCCAAAAGCACTCCCATGCTTTACAGGCGTGTAACTTGAGAAGGGAACATCCCACAGTGATTGGGGGCGACATCAATCGATCCGGATTGAGCATGCCTTTCATTTGATACCCGAGATGTCTATGTAGGTACTACGGTTCGGCCACCGCGAAAAAGGTCATGTGTTCCAAAGTGTCTCCTCTGCAGAAAAAGCTCCCAGGTATTGTGCCATAATCTGTATGGCACCCTGCGATATTTTTAGCAACAAATCACCTGATTTCTGGACTTAAAACAGCAGAAGCTAACCAGCGGTTTTGATGATCGCGTGCTGTGCTCAACAGGTTCTCCTAGGCCTATTTCTGCAGCACCATCGGTAATGTCCTTTAGGCAGAGCACTGTCAATTGAATGTCAGGCCAAACTTCCCTGCTTCTTCTCCACTAAGTCCACCATCAGCTCCTTAGTCTGGAGTAGGTTATTGACACGAACGTGTCAGGTACTTTCTTCAAGTAGGCCTTTTCACTGTTATCTGTGATCAGGCACACCACAGCTGTGTTGTCAGCAAACATGATGATAGTGATAGAGTCGAAAGTGGCAAAGCAGTACTGTACAGGTAGTACAGCAGGGGGCTCAAAAGGCAGCCTTGGGGTGCTCCATTGTTAAGTTTAAGGGTGGAAGAGGTGTATCTGCCAATCAGAAAGTCAAGGATCCACATGCACAGTGAGGTGTTTATTCCCAAGTCTTTGAGCTTGATGTAGAGCCTGTAGGAAACTATAGTGTTAAACACTGAACAGTAGTCAGTGAACAGCAATTTCAAATACTGTAGCTCTCTTTCTTGTACAGTTGAGAGGGTGGTGTGGAGGATATTTTCCATGGCATCATCTGTTGATTGGTTGGGACGGTAGGCAAACTGTAGTGGGTCGTGTGCTGGGTAGCAAGGAGCAGATGTAATCCTTGACCAGCTGAGAGTGTATCTGGACACTGGACATCCAGGTCTTGTGTTTTTGGGGCACAGGAACATTGATGGACTTCTTGAACCATTCTTAAAAAGTTTATTCAGAAATTCTTATAATAAACTGGTTCAGGCAGAATAGATAATTGTATCAGACCAGCAAGGCTGTGCAAATGTTGATGCAGGTTGTGGAAACCAAGAATCACTAATGAACAGGCTTATTAAAAATTACATGTAGATGAAAGAATAAATGAATGTCTAAATTTTCTGTATCCTTTTAGAGCAATCTGTGCCACCCATGACGCGCAGCAGCAGCTTTGAATTCCTTCCACCTAACAGTAAGTTGACTGTCAGAAATATTCACGTTATAGAATTACAGCATATTGTAGGTGGTGTCGGTAGCAGAGGCCTCTAGCTATGGGTGACCCCACTACAGGCGCTGACTCACAAAGAACGTTTTGACACTCTTTTTATTCACATACAAATTGCATTGTTAATCCAATTTTATTGTATTCACCCTTAATTCAGTCTACACTGTTTTTAATTCAGTGTTTTCTTTTCAGTGTCTGAGCTGAGGGTTGTTCTGCTGGGGAACAGCTGGTCTGAGAGGAGTTCAGTGGGGAACTTCATACTGGGAGAGACTAAGTTCAACACTGAGGAAGAACCAGATGACTGTCTGAGAGAAAGTGGACAGTTGGAAGAGAAAGAAATAGTTCTCATCAACACACCAGATCTGCTTATTCCAAACACTGACCAACAGAGAATGCACATAGGTTTCTGCCAGATACTCTCTGCTCCTGGACCTCATGTGTTCCTGCTGGTTCTGCAGCCTGAAGACTTTACTGAGGAACAGAGATTAAAGCTCTGCAGAGTCCTGGAGCTCTTCAGTGATCGATCATTTCATCACTCACTAGTTCTGATATCAACACCCAGAAAGGAGAGTCCAGGTTTCATGGAAGAATATCGGCAACATCCTCCCTTAAAAGAGGTGATCAGAAAATGTCACTACAGGTTTCTGTGGAGGAAAGACCTTGAACTTCCAGAGCTGTTAACACGCCTGCGACAGATTGTGAACGAGAACAATGGAGAGCATGTGAATGTATGAACAGTTTGCTCCTTCTTGCAAATGTAAGAATAATAATGTGGCATCGATCCTAGATGACTGCAGTACAGAAACAGAGGTTAACACACCTTCTGACACGTGATCTAGATTGACCAAAATATCATTGGTCATGATGATGATTTTTATTAAATCAAGGCTTTGGTCATCCCTTCCAGTCAATTTTCCATGAATATGCTTTGATACAGCACTCTGTGAACAGCCATCCCTTTCTCCTTGTGGAGGCTGTATATGAGTGTCTTCTGGTCAACTGTCAAGTCAGACATCTTCCTTGTGATTGGTGTTGTTTGACCTGAACCAGACTGAAAGATTCAATGCTCTTCTCTGGTTGACATTTGTTTATTATAGATTGCTTACTCTAATTTTTTGAGATATGGATTTTTTTTTTTTTATGGATTGGAGTCTAAAGTTTCACTTTTAAATTATGGGGAAAAATGAGCTTCACAATATTCAAATTTTCTGAGATGTACCTGTAGACATCACTTTATATGTAATGAGTCTAAAATAAATAAAAGTTTCACTTTTTTAATTAAATGATGGGGGAATATTCTAATTTTATGAGATGTACCTGTACAGATTGTGTGTGTGTGTTGGAGAGAGAAGCACAACTGTTCAGTTTAAGTGTCTGTGTATGTGTGTGCGCTTCGTAACTGCGGAGCCCAAGGGCCTGTCTTACCAACCTGCACTGGGGGCAGCTCACTCGCTGCCTCTGTACATGTCATCATTTCTTATAAACCTCTTCTCTATTTTACTGGACATAATTTTTTCATCTGTAACATTCAGGATCATAGATATATATAGATATACTGTAGATATAATTTTTTTTAATTTTTCACCTCTAATAAGTTGTTGTAAAAAAAGAAGATGTAGACAATCTTTCCGCTCTGTTGTTTAAGTAAATATTTTTAATGCAGCCTGTAGTTCTCATAAGTTATGTAGGCATACTTATGTGTGAAACCTGGTGAGCATTACTGAGAGTCAAAAATTATCTCCAGCTCTGGGGCTTTCAGATCTTTTAATGCTTTTTTGGGTTTAATTCTGTTTGAAGAACCAGCAGGGAAAGGCCGTGCTCTGAACTGTTCGTACTTGTGTCAAGTAAAATAAAAGTGAAGTTGAGTCATTTAGTTTTTCCTCCCTGGTACTCATCTCAGGACCTCCCAGATTTTCCCCAATACCTGGCGGATGTGAGCCAGTGCAGGTTTAAGGACTGATGATAGTATCAAGGCTGGTCCCATCACCTACCGTCACCCTCTTCAAATTAACGCTGGACAGGCAGGACAAAGCAGAACACCACTCCTTCCTCCAGCACCAGAAAAGGCCCTGTTGTCACTTTCAGAATTATGGTAACCACACCTTGTAAATGTGGCACTGTTTTTGTGGATTTTGATGATGTCAACTTATGTCTTTTAATACACATTTATATAATATACAGCAGGCTTTTGTGTACAACAGTACAGTGAAGCAGGGCTCTGCAGTGCAACTCTTTCACTCACATATGCTCAGAAATGATTTACAAGCACAGTGGGTTAGTGAAGACTAAAACCTACTGTAAATAATGTTAAGGTTATATTATACCAATAGTCATTTATACTAGTTCCTCCTCCAGGTTGTGGTTAGAGCCTCTGCAGTGGACAAATGTAGATTTAGTTCAGTCTACAACATTTTCAGGCCCATGTTGAGCATTCAGAGCCAGTAGTCTTCACATCATAAAACGGTCATTGCACTCAAGGAGAAGGAGCTCAGGCATATTATAAATATGTATAATACATTTGTATAAGTTAATTCTGTGCTACTTGAACATTTTTGGACTACTGTCCTCCTTAAGAGAAAGGTTAGCATAGCACTACAAGTAAATAAGCAAGTCTGGGAACAGATCCATGATATAATTTTATCCCATGGGATTTATTTATTTATTTATTTTTACACAGAGCACTTCTTTCCACGTCACGCAGCCCAAAAACAAGTAAACTGCCCCACCCTTAGCAGAGCCTAGCAGTTGGCAAAGACATTCACAGGGCCCGTTCACTTGTAACAGAGTCTCATAAAAAGAATCCCCATTTAAAATCAGGACACAAACATCCACAGTTGATCAGGCAGGTAAAACAGCAGTGGCTATATAACCCTCAACTAATGCAGTAAATCATCCACCCAGTTCTGACTCCACCTCATTCAAGGAGCAGACGTTTAAGGCAACTCAGGGTATCAACCTCCACGGCCATTTGTATGGTGAACTCTAGCAGAACAGGCCATGCAGTCTACAGGGTCTTGGCGACAGGTGGTTTAAAATGCCTGTAATAAAAACAATTTAAAAAGTGTTCACAAAAGTCAGATGGCATACCATCCAAAATCCTAACCTGCACCTGACCACACTACAACACAATGCATCAAGAGAGATCCTGAGCGCTCCCTGAACGCTCCCTGAACATCAACTCTTACTGAGGTGATTGTGCCCACTACTGGACGAGACTACTGGACTAATTTGGCAAGATAGTCTTAAAACTTATAGGAAGGCCCTCCGTAATGCCAGAGCAGCGTACTACTCGTCATTAATAGATGAAAATAGGAACAACCCCAGGTTTCTTTTCAGCACTGTAGCCAGGCTGACAGAGTCACAGCTCTATTGAGCCAAATATTACCATAGCTCTCAGTAGTTACGACTTCATGAGCTTCTTTAATGATAAAATTCTAACTATTAGAGACAAAATTCACCAAGACCTGCCCTCAACTGGCACCAACTTATCTCTTAACTCAGGAACCTTAGAAACAGCTGTAGAACCAGATATATGTTTAGACTGTTTTGCTTCCCTCAATCTTTACCAACTAACTTCAATAATTTCTTCATCTAAACCATCAACCTGCCTCTTAGACCCCATCCCAACTAGGATGCTTAAATATGTTTTACCCTTAGTCAGCACTTCTATACTAGATATGATCAATCTATCTTTATCAACAGGCTATGTACCACAGTACTTTAAAGTAGCTGTAATTAAACCTCTTCTGAAAAAGCCCAAACTTGATCCGGATGTTTTAGCCAACTATAGACCTATATCTAACCTTCCATTTCTCTCTAAGGTTCTGGAGAAAGCAGTTGCTAAACAGCTGTGTGACTTTCTACAGAGCAATAGTTTATTTGAGGATTTTCAGTCAGGATTTAGAGCTCATCATACCACAGAGACAGCACTGGTGAAAATTACTAACAACCTCCTTATTGCATCAGACAAAGGACTTGTCTCTGTACTGGTTTTATTAGATCTTAGTGCTGCATTTGATACCATTGACCATCAGATCCTATTGCAGAGACTGGAATATTTCATTGGCATTAAAGGAACCGCTCAAAGCTGGTCCTATTTATCCTATTTACCTATAAGTCCTATTTATCAGATCGATTTCAGTTTGTACATGTTAACGATGAGTCCTCCATGCATGCCAAAGTTAGTCATGGAGTTCCTCAAGGATCTGTCCTCGGACCAATCCTCTTCACTTTATATATGCTTCCCTTAGGCAATATTATCAGGAAACACTCCATAAACCTTCATTGTTATGCAGATGATACTCAGTTATATCTATCGATCAAACCAGATGAAACTCATCAGTTAGCTAAACTTCAAATGTGCCTTCAGGATGTTAAAACCTGGATGACCTGTAATTTTCTAACTTTAAACTCAGATGAAACTGAAGTTATTGTTCTGGGGCCTAAGCACCGTGGCTCAGGTTAGTCCTGAACCATCCCTTAGTTATGCTGCTATAGGCCTAGACTGCCGGGGGATTTCCTATGATGCACTGAGCTCCTCTCTCCTCTACTTTCTCTCCCTCTGTATGCAACCTCATCCCATTATTGCATGTTACTAACACAACTTCTCCCCTTTCCGGTATTCTTGTGCTTTCTCGTCCCTCTCCTCTCTCCTCCTATCACTTCCTGCAGGTTTTCTGGCTCTGGAGCTGTGGAGTCTGGATCTGTGGCTGCGGGTCACCTGCTGCCCCCGTGGTCCTGCTCGACACCCTCTGCTACAACAATTATTGTTACTAGTCCTATTGTTATTATTGTTATTATAATCATTAACATTACAATTATTATTATTATTAACTACTATACATATCTATACAATTTTTCATTTAGTCTATAGCAACATCACCTTTACTGTCTGTACCTCTGTGTGTATATTGTGTAGGCTGCCTCCCTCCCCTCTCTCTCTCCTTCCATCCCTCTCTTTCTCTCTCTCTCTCTCTCTCTCTCTCTCTCTCTCTCTCTCTCCCTCTCTCTCCTTCACCCCAACCGGTCGAGGCAGATGGCCGCCCACCCTGAGTCATGGTTCTGCTCGAGGTTTCTGCCTCTTAAAAGGAAGTTTTTCCTTGCCTCTGTCTCCTAGTGCTGCTCTTGGTGGGAACTGTTGGCGCTATATAAAAAAAATTGAATTGAATTGAATTTAAATACTCACCATTACACAGTACAAGCACTTCTATATTTTACACTTTGATGTACAGGAACTTTTTCTTGCGCACAGGCACTTCTTACAAGCTGCCCGTACACTTCTCTGCCCTCTCCGTATGTGTACACATACGAGGAATTTGACTCTGGATTTTACATTGCTCACGATATGCTTACTCGTACAAAAACACATAATCACAATAATAAAAATAAAACAGAATCAGACACAGACTTCAGTGTAGACAACACAAATATACACACTATGAACAAAAAAAATATAGAACCTCCTGCAGTTCTATCATCTGCATCATATACTACTTTTACTTTTATATTTATAAGGATCTATTTTTGTTAGTTCACTCACCTGATGTATTTCTTGCTGCGACACAATCAGCTGTGGAAGTGAAAATAAGAATAACTATCAAGAGCAGGAGCGTAGCACATAATTCTGGACCATCACAAAAGCAGTCTCTTAATGTTTACAAATGATTTACCTTTGGTATTCAAAATGGACAAACAGTAAATCAGTGTATAGTATGACCAACACAATATTAGCTAGATTAAACATACACTGTTGTGGGTCAGGCCTGTGTTATGATGAATTAGGTAGAATTATTATTATGAGCAATGGTGGAGAAGATATATCAAATTATAATAATATGAGAAAGATAATTTCTCATATTCTCAGGCCAGCAGAGGTGTTTCCTGCCAGGCTGACTGAAGACAACAGAGGACCCCTCATTCCTGCTGGCCTATCTGCAGGAAACACTTAGAATTCAATATCATCTCAAGTGTGTTACGATAATGGTGTTGCAATTTTCATAGCTGTAACTGTTACAGCTATGTAGTTGATATAACAGACAGACTGACTGTTGACTATTCCTATAACATTAACTGTAACAGAGCTGCGGTATTGTCACTAAAACTAGTATTGCAATAATGTGAAGTATATCTATGAGAATGGGTCTGTAATAGCCTGGACTTGACACCACCCAGCTGATGTTACAGCATTTGGGTAACTGTATTTTTTCATGCTGAGCTGAGATGTTAATGTTTACCCTCAGTCGGTCAGTAAGGGCAACAATAAATACTAGTAATGCAAGGCAAGTTTATTTGTATAGCATATTTCAACAAGGCAATTCAAAGTGCTTTACATAAAACATAAAAGCAAAGTAGGGAAAACAGGATAAAATACATTTTAAAGAGTTGAATAGGAAATAAAAACAGGGTAAAACAGGACAGTAAAAGTGAAGGTGCAGTGTACGATATTGATCTACAGATTTACATTTGATGGTGGTAAAAAGAACAGTCTTCTGTCATGATTTACAAGAACAGAGTTTCAGCAGACCTGCGGTTTTCTGGGAGTTTGTTCCAGATATACGGAGCATAATAACTGAACGTTGCTTCTCCTTGTTTAGTTTTGACTCTGGGGACAGAAAGCAGACCTGTCCCAGACGACCTGAGTGTTTTCTGGATGGTTCGTTACGAAGCAGAAATATTTTGGCCCTAAACCATTTAGTGCTTTATAAATCAATTCTTTGACATACAGGAAGCCAATGTAAAGACCTCAGAACTGGAGTGATGTGATCCACCTTTTTGGTCTTAGTGAGGACTCGAGCTGCAGCGTTCTGAATCAGCTGCAGCTGTCTGATGGATTTCTTAGGGGGCCCTGTAAGGACACTGTTACAGTAGTAGAGT